CGTGGGAATCAACAGTGTGGACTCTGCAGGAAACCCAAAAAGTTACGGGGGTGATGCAGCAGCTTTGTGGCACCCTCCCCAGCCACCTCGAGGAGGAACAACAGAAGATGGTGAGACAGATGCTCTATGAGGAGTGTGCTGCATTCGCCCGTGATGATGACGATATTGGATGTATCCCAAGCCTACAGATGACCATCAACCCTAAAGATGACATCCTTGTCCAGAGAACATACACCAATGTCCCGAAGCCGCTCTACAAGGATGTTAAAGAAAATGTCCAAGAACTGCTGGCTAGACGGTGGATCGTCAAGTCCAAGTCGCCTTACTCTGCACCGGTCGTATGCGTCCACAAGAAAGATGGGCCACTCAGACTATGCATCAATTACAGGTTGCTGAACCAGAAGACTGTACCAGATAGGCACCCAAAGCCTCAGATTCAGGACCTCACAGACATTCTAGGCGGTTATACCTGGTTCTCAATCCTAGACCAAGGCAAGTTTACCACCAAGGGTTCATGGCTGAAGGATCACGACACTTGACCGTGTTCATCACCTCTTGGGGTCTGTATGAATGGCTGAGAATCCCATTTGGTTTATCAAATGCCCCTGCAGCATTCCAGAGGAGCAGGGAGGAGAAGCTAGATACCCTGCGATACGAATGTTGCATTCCTTACCTGGACGATGTCCTCTGCTATGCCAAGCCGTTCGAAAAGCACGTGGAAGGACTCCGTTACTGTTGTGGATGTTCGCAAACTACTCTGATTCTTAAGTTACTCCCACACTTACATACAGGACTTCTCAAGAATCGCGAAGACAATCTACAAACTACTCCAAGGGTAAAACGGCACAGCCTTAGTGCCATCAGGGAAACGGTGGAAAGAGAAATGAAAAGGTGCTCACTTGTCGTCCAGAACTCCAGTGGAATGGACCGAGGCACACCAAAGCACCCTTGGGAGACTGATCGACACGTTAGCCAGTCCGCCTGTCTTAGCCTACCCCGACTTTGACTTGCCCTTCACGCTCCACACTGATGCCTCCGAACGGGGGCTTGGAGCCGTCCTTTACCAACGCCAAAACAGGAAGCTGAGGGTCGTTGGGTCTGGATCAAGAACCTTTTCACAAGCCAAGAAGAATTACAACCTTCACTCTGGCAAACTCAAGTTTCTTGCCTTGAAGTGGACTGTGTATGAAAAGTTCAGGGAATATCTATTTTACGCCCCTTACTTTACCATCTACATGGATAACAATCCCCTGATATATGTCATGAGTACAGCCAAGCTAATGCAGTAGGCCAAAGATGGGTTGGGGAACTGTCAGACTTTAAGTTCAACATCAAGTACAGACCAAGCAAAGTCAATATAGACGCAGACAAGCTATCCCGTTTGCCTCTTGACATAGACCAGTATGTAGCTCAGTGTACAGAAGAGTTGTCAGGTGAAGCTGTTTGTGCAACATGGCAAGGGAGTCAGGCAGCACAGGGAAAAGATGTAGCATGGGTTGCAGCCTTGCACCTGTCACAAGAACATGTAGAAGAACAGTACACTCGTGGACCCCTGCCAACTATCGACCATGGCGAGCTAGAAAAAGCCCAAAGAGACATCAAGCTATTGGAAAACTAATGAGACTAAAAGAAACAAACAGGATACTTACCAGTGAGGGAAGACAAGGAGTAAGTGTCACTACCAAGAAACTGATGCATGAATGGGGAAAACTACAAATTGACAATGGACTCCTGTACCGGAAAACCGGTCAAAGACGGCAGCTAGTCTTACCAGTCCAGTACAAGCAGATGGCGTTGAAACATCTTCATGATGACATGGGTCATGTTGGAACTGAGAGAGTCCTCAGTCTGGCACGAGAAAGGTTCTACTGGCCATTTATGAAGAGAGACATTGAGGAATATATAACCAACCGCTGCCTCTGTATCAAGCAAAAGAAGCCAGTCACACATGTAAGAGTACTGATGGGCAGCATCACCACAAGTTCACCCCTAGAGCTAGTCTCTATCAACTACATGCATCTGGAGGCCAGCAGAGGAGGCTTTGAGTACATACTGGTCGTAATAGACCATTTCACGAGATTTGCGCAAGCATATCCAACCAAGAACAAGTCTGGAAGAACAGCAGCCGAAAATATATTAAATGACTTCATCCCAAGGTTCGGATACCCCTCCAAGTTACACCACGATCAAGGTCGAGAGTTTGAGAACAAACTCTTCAAAACACTGCAGCAAATGACAGGAGTGGGTCACTCAAGGACATCTCCCTATCACCCTCAGGGTAACCCGGCCGAAAGATTCAATAGGACCCTACATCTGATGCTGAGAACGCTTGAGGAAAAGGAGAAGGACAGGTGGAAAGAGCATCTTCCCCAAGTTGTCCATGCCTACAACTGCACCAGACATGAAGCGACTGGATACACACCTTTCTATTTACTATATGGTCGCCACCCGCGCCTACCTGTAGACTTGCTGTTTGGCCTGGCAACAGGAGAGGAGTCACGCACACCTAGAAGTTATGCTGAAAAGTGGGCTGAAAGAATGACCGAAGCATACAGAATTACGTTAGAGAATAGCAAACAGGCAAGTGCAAGAGGGAAAAAGTACTACTACTGTCACTTTAGGGGAGTGGTTCTGCAACCCGGCAACAGAGTCCTCATACGAAACTTGAGCGAGAGAGGTGGTCCTGGAAAGTTAAGGTCAAACTGGGAAAGGACAATATATCTAGTGAAAGAGCAAGTAAGTGACAACCCAGTGTAAAAAGTCTGTCCAGAGACCGGTTCGAACGAGACCCATACCTTACATTGGAATCTCCTGCACCTAGTCAATGACTTACCTGTAGACTTACCGTCGCAGGCCGATGTGAGTACGTTTTTTAATCAGGTCAACACTCGCAAGGCCGCGGGGACGGGCGGTATACCAGGGCACGTTCTCAGAGCATGCGCAGAACAGCTGGCAGGCATACAGTATTCACAGTCATTTTCACTCACCTTGTCCCAGTCTGTAATTCCTGCATGTCTCAAGCTGACCACCATCATTCCTTTTCCCAAGAACTCTAACACTACCTACCACAATGACTACCGCCCTGTGGTGCTTACATCTGCAATCATGAAGTGCTTTGAAAGGCTGGTTATGGCACACATCAACTCCATCATCCCAGACACTCTAGACCCACTCCACAATTTGCATACGGCTCCAACAGATCCATAGACGACGCAATCTCAATTGCACTCCATAATGCCCTCACCCACCGAGATAAGAGGAATACCTATGTGAGAATGCATGTTCATTGACTACAGCTCAGCGTTCAACACCATAGTCCCCTCAAACCTTGTCACCAAGCTTGGGACCCTGGGACTGAACACCTCCCAACTGGATCGTGGACTTCCTGACGTCCGACCCCCAGGTGGTGAGGGTAGGCAACATCACCTCCGCCATGCTGACCCTTAACGCGGGGGCCCCACAGGGGTGTGTGCTTAGTCCCCTCCTGTACTCCCTGTTCACCCTTGACTGCTTGGCTACGCACGACTGCTTGGCTACGCATCAAGTTTGCTGACGGCACGATGGTGGTAGGCCTGATCACCGGTGACAATGAGACAGCCATCAGGGAGGAGGTCTGTGACCTGGCAGTGACCTTGCATTGTGGTGCCAGGACAACCTCTCCCTCAATGTCAGTAAGACTGAGGAGCTGATGGTGGACTACAGAAAACGGGGGGGCAAGCACACCCCCATCCACATCGACAGGGCTGTAGTGGAGCTGGTCGAGAGCTTCAAGTTCCTCTGTGTCCAAATCACTAAGGACAAAGAATGGTTCACATACAGTCGTGAAGAATTAGCGACAGCACCTCTTCCCCCTCAGGAGGTTGAAAAGATTTCCTCAAAAAGTTATACGGCTGCACCATTGAGAGCATCTTGAATGTCTGCATCACTGCTTGGTATGGCAATTGCACCGCCCTCGATCGCATGGCACTACAGAGGGTGGTGCGGACAGCCCAGTACATCACTGGGGCCGAGCTCCCTGCCATCCAGGACCTTTATATCAGGCGGTGTGAAGGGCCGGAAAATTGTTAAAGACTCCAACCACCCAAGCCATAGACTGTTTTCTCTGCTTCTGCAAGGCAAACGGTACAGGAGCATCAAGTCTGACAACAACAGGCTCCTGAACAGCTCCTATCCCCAAGCCATAAGACTGCTACATAGCTAAGAGGCTAATTAGGTCTAGTTGTGCTTCCACCATGTCTGATGCCACTCTGCTCAATCATACTCATTATAGACCCACTTTTACTCGCCTTGATCTGCTTAGTCCAGCTAAGGTTTTAGTAGAATTATGACGCAGATCGGGTGTGTGTTCTTAGTTTTGAATTCACATGTGCAGCCTATAATAGCAACTTTCTGAAATCTGAACAATTATTGAACATAATTACAACTTCTAATTGTCATTCTTGTTGCAAATTGTTATTATCCGTTCAGTTAGTGATTTTTGTAATTAGATTATTGTGTTCTGTGTCATTTTTTTTGTCTCTTTAGCTAGCAAACGTTAGCTACCAGTACCTAGCTAAGGTTAGTGCTAACGTTAACATTATTAGTTGGTGCGGCATCTTTATTAAAAGTTAGGAAATGAAGAAGAGCAACATCAAGTTTATGAGGCAAGAGGTCAGCTCCACAGAATATTGCTCCGTTCCGTTGTGTACCTCCTCAGTGAAATACTCCTCGTTGAGTTTTCACTCATTTCCCAGTGATACTGAGCTAAGAGCAAAATGGGTCATCAATATTCGCAGGGAAAACTTCACCGTCACATGTCAATCCAAGGTAGACACTTTTTACCACATGATTTCATTGAACCTTCTAGTGGGCTTCGACATCTGAAGAAGGGAGCAGTACCTTTGCTATTCCAGTGGAATAACTACCATGTCCAAGCAAGAGCAAGTGTTCGGGAAAGAAGGGAGAGACCAAGGACTGGATGTGTAGAGGACAACCATGTTGAAGATGGAGAGGATGAAAAGATGGATAGCTACCATGACTACGACTACTGTGCAGTGCTTGGGTCCGCTGCAGTTGACCTGGTTTTGATTGAGAGGGAAGAGATGCAGAGAGAGATTGAGGACCTACGGAACAAAGTAGAGGAGTTGACTGTCGTTTTGGGCTGCAGCGATTTGTGGGATCAGATGCACAGATCCAGTCCTTCACAAGGTGGGTAAACCTAGCCCTGCTTAGTATTGTTACATCATACACTTTACACTGTTTGCTTTCTGGCACCATTTTCCCGAGCTACCAGCATTTCTGTCTTAGATTTATGATACTACATTTAATATTAGACTTGTGAGTAAATAACTCCTATCAATGTTTCTTCCCATGTAGATTTGCCTTTTGGTCTCTCATCAAACCGTCAACTGCCAATATTGTCCGTGTCACACGAGCAAGGAGAACCAAGCTGAGGAATGAGGAGGTGACACTTCCATGTACCTACTCAGTAAGTTCTCCCGTTTCTGATTAACTGTATTGTCTAACCAACGTTACTTTTCACTTTAGCTACAGTGCCTTGCAAAAGTATTCATCCCCCTTGGCGTTTTTCCTATTTTGTTGCATTACAACCTGTAATTGAAATTGATTTTATTTGGATTTCATGTAATGGACATACACAAAATAGTCCAAATTGGTGAAGTGAAATGAAATAAATGTTTAAAGAAATTCAAAAAAATAAAGAACGGAAAAGTGGTGAGTGCATATGTATTCACCCCCTTTGCTATGAAGCCCCTAAATAAGATCTGGTGCAACCAATTACCTTCAGAAGTCACATAATTAGTTAAATAAAGCCCACCTGTGTGCAATCTAAGTGTCAGATGATCTGTCGCATGATCTCAGTATATATACACCTGTTCTGAAAGGCCCCAGAGTCTGCAACATCACTAAGCAAGGGGCACCACCAAGCAAGTGGCACCATGAAGACCAAGGAGCTCTCCAAACAGGTCAGGGACAAAGTTGTGGAGAAGTACAGATCAGGGTTATAAAAAAATATCTAAAACTTTGAACATCCCACAGAGCACCATTAAATCCATTATTAAAAAATGTAAAGAATATGGCACCACAACAAATCTGCCAAGAGAGGGCCGCCCACCAAAACTCATGGACCAGGCAAGAGGGGCATTAATCAGAGGCAACAAAGAGACCAAAGATATAACCCTGAAGGAGCTGCAAAGTTCCACAGCGGAGATTGGAGTATCTGTCCATAGGACACTTTAAGCCGTACACTCCACAGAGCTGGGCTTTACGGAAGAGTGGCCAGAAAAAGCCATTGCTTGAAGAAAATAATAAGCAAACACGTTCGCCAAAGGCCATGTGGGAGACTCCCCAAACATATGGAAGAAGGTACTCTGGTCAGATGAGACTAAAATTGAGCTTTTTGGCCATCAAGGAAAACGCTATGTCTGGTGCAAACCCAACACCTCTCATCACCCCGAGAACACCATTGGCAGGGACTGGGAAACTGGTCAGAATTGAAGGAATGATGGATGGCGCTAAATACAGGGAAATTCTTGAGGGAAACCTGTTTCAGTCTTCCAGAGATTTGAGACTGGGACGGAGGTTCACCTTCCAGCAGGACAATAACCCTAAGCATACTGCTAAAGCAACACTCGAGTGGTTTAAGGGGAAACATTTAAATGTCTTGGAATGGCCTAGTCAAAGCCCAGACCTCAATCCAATTGAGAATATGTGGTATGACTTAAAGATAGCTGTACACCAGCGGAAACCATCCAACTTGAAGGAGCTGGAGCAGTTTTGCCTTGAAGAATGGGCAACAATCCCAGTGGCTAGATGTGACAAGCGTATAGAGACATACCCCAAGAGACTTGCAGCTGTAATTGCTCTACAAAGTATTGACTTTGTGGGGGGGTGAATAGTTCTGCACACTCAACTTTTCAGTTTTTTGTCTTATTTCTTGTTTGTTTCACCCCAAAAAAATATTTTGCATCTTCAAAGTGGTAGGCATGTTGTGTAAATCAAATGATACAAACCACTAAAAAAATCAATTTTAATTCCAGGTTGTAAGGCAACAAAATAGGAAAAATGCCAAGGGGGGTGAATACTTTCGCAAGCCACTGTAAAAGCTATAGCCTACTGTAAATATCTGTTCGTGATTTGGGCATTTGTCCTACAGAGACATGCCCTATCCATGCTGGATGAGCTGTTCCTCTTCCTCATGTACTTGTCCTTGGGGTCAACTGAGATGGACCTCGCTGACCGATTTGTTATCCATCACTCGACAGTAAGCAGGATCGTTGTCACATGGGCCAACTACCTTTACATTCTGCTGGGGTCTGTCTCTATATGGATGTCTTCGGAAGATGTCAAGGCTGTGTTGCCGAAGGAGTTCAGTAGGTATCCAGATACCCAAGTCATCATTGACTGTACCGAGTTGAGATGCCAGCAGCCAGCCAGTCTCCCTCTACACAGTGAGATGTAGTGTCATTACAAGCCTGCTTGGGATGGCACCACATGGAGCAGTTACTTTTGTGTCAGAATTGTATGCTGGCTCCATCAGCGACAAAGAGCTATTCAAACAATCAGGACTGTTTGGCTTGCTCACTGAAGACATGGCAGTGATGGCAGACAAGGGATTCCTGATTCATGACTGTGTGCCAGGCAAGGTCTACCGGCCTCTTGTGAAGGCATGGGCCAAGGAGCAATGAGTTACTACTGCAATGCATCTTTCCTTTTTTTTGCAGTGACCTTCCACATTGTCTAACACCCTGTAGTCCATTTATTGATAATAATCACCACTGCTTATACTCCAAACACAAAATGTTGTAAAGAGTTTTTATCTACAGTGACAAGAGAACAGAAAATATGTAACTGAATTATTTTAAATAATTTATTAATTGATTAATTGCACAGACAGATTTGTTGGTTTGTTTGTCTTTCATTAATTGAAAGATAAAGGAGCCTGTCCGTAGTTATTTCGTCTTTCCTGCCTAAGAACTTTTGCATGTACACATATAAGTAGTACCAGTCACCCTTCTCTCTAATTAGTGAGAACACCACTGGGTCTCTATGTATTCTCTCAACCAGAATGTCCTCATGCGCACAGACAACAATGTCACACCACTCCAACCCAGTGATGTAGACCTTGAACTTGTCAGTAGTAGGCATGCTGCCTCTTCAGGGAAGGTTCACCGTTATGCATGTGAACGTACTTGCAATCCACAAAACCCTTTACGTTCGGGTTCTTAATCTCAACTAGGCCAAAAGATGGATGCTCGAGAGGGTCATAGACCAGGCCATCAGGAGAAGAGGCAAGCCAAGGGACGTCAGGATGTATGATGAGGCCACAGGGTGAGAAGTTGACATTCTGCATCTTGCAGTAGTCACTGGCTGCTTCCATCTCCAATTCCAGTCCCCTCTTCATGTCAGCTGTTGGTGCTGTGCCTTTGAGCATCCTTTCAGCTAGATTGCCTGCGGATGTCAGCCCTCTCACATGGCAAGCCTCTCGGAACCGTGACGAGGTCACGAGGTTTCCGGAGCACCTGCCAGTCGGAGACAGCACTCTGTTCTCTAGTAGCTTGCTCTATTTTATGTGCTGTTGCGAAACTCACCTGAAGAGACTCTATGTGAAGCTTGTCTTCTTCACTGAGCACAAATGTGCAGCCTTGAAAGTTGCTCTCCAGTCTGTAGCCAGGGACAGTGAAGGGAATGGTGGTGTCTCCTTATGGTGAACTATGTGTCGCGTTGTGATTGGAGGCTGCTGGTAAGACAGGAGGCTCCCCACCTGTACCTTTCCAAAGTGGGAGTCGACTAAAAGCTTTTCAGCAGACATCCCCATGCTGTAGATCAATGGCTTGGATAGAGGGTCAAAGTTATTGTATGCCTCTTCTAACTGGAGAACTGAGAGGTCAGGGAGCAGTCCAAGAAGAGCGCTGTAGAGTGCAGCTGCTGTGTTTAGCCAATCTAAACAATGTACTTGAAACCACCTGAAATGTTATATAGTCAAAGTGTAATAGGACATGACCAGCTACTACCTATTATAGTGGCTATTAGGGAATACTCACCTAATCCCTCCTTCTGCCATATGCTTTTTGGTGGGCTTGGTGATGGTCATTTTGCCTATGGGCCCAGGTTTCAGACCCTGTAAAAAGACAGTACAAGGGCACTATTTTAAATCTAATCATGAGATGATTTAAGTTTTCATTAAATCATTTCTTAGCATTATGATGTGATTATAACCATATGATGTTGATATGTGGTATAACTATTAAAACATACCATAATCCTTGGCTTATGCCACTGCTGCACGGCCTCTGTACAGCTGTGCACAGGTGGGACGACTGGTGTTCCCATTTGGGAATAGACCAGCAAACAGAAGTGACTGGCGCAACATGCAACAGCCACTAAATGAATTACAGCAACACAGGTTTAAACTTTTCTATTAAGGGTATATGCCCTTGTTTAAATTTAATCTAATGCATCCAACATAACAGAGTTTACAGAAACAGCAAGGAAGACGACTGAACAATTACTACACTAAGAACAGTTTCATAGACATGGGTTAAGCCTAGTCCTAGACTAAGCAATGCCTCTTAATGCAGATCTCCATTGACAGGAACTTCTTAGTCTAAGACTAGGCTTCATCTCTGACTGTGTAACCGGCATGCATTGTGTCACAAACAGCTGACTTTTCACCCTAAACTGAAACTGTGTGGTTTCTCATTTTTCCTCATGGACCTGTAGCAGCAAGCCCTTATTCTGACCTCTCCTGTCACTTTGTCCCTGTTCTAAACTGTTTTGAATAAAAAGAATGAGCAATCATAATGTTAGCTAGCTACTGTAAAAGGCATGTCTTAAACTACGTTACAGCTTTGAGTAAACTTGGCTACACTTACCTTCATAGTTGAAAAGGTAACTTGAGGCATAAAGTTTGAATCCTTTTTCCAACTTGGAGGTTGGTGCTTTGCTACTTGTCTTGGCCAGACGATGTACATCCGTCACTGTTATCTTTGGCAGCTCTTGCAAGCACCTTGTGTAAAACAATGCCATGGTTGGTAAGGGAGGGGGGCATTGGCTAATTGCTAGCCACCTTACTAGTTAGCACGTTAATAGCTATCTAGCTAAGAGATATATTTGAACAGCGCCGGAGAAGATGGCTGCCGTTTTACAGCCCTCTAACCAACCCTCTAACCAATTGTACTATTATGTGTGTTTTTCCGCGTTATTTGTAATTTATTTTGTACATAATGTTTCTGCCATCGTCTCTTATAACCAAAAAGAGCTTCTGGATATCAGGACAGCGATTACTCACCTCGCATTGGACGAAGATTTTTTCTTCAACGAGGCGGCCGCGAAGGATATCATACAGACACCCGACAAGGCCCAAATCCCCGTCATTCGCGTGAGGAAGAGACGGAGATATCGCGGACGCAGATCCGGGTGCCTTGTAAGGATCCGACGGCGATGAGTAAACTGCCTCTTCCATCAATCCTATTAGCCAACGTTCAAGCTTTTGAGAATAAAATGGACGATTTAAGATTACGGTTATCCTACCAACGGGACATTAAAAACTGTAATATCCTATGTTTCACGGAGTCGTGGCTGAACGACAACAATGATAACATTCAGCTAGCAGGCTATACGCTACATCAGCAGGACAGAACGGCTGACTCTGGTAAGACAAGGGGTGGCGGTCTGTGTATATTTGTAAACAACAGCTGGTGCACAAAATCAAATACTAAGGAAGTCTCGAGGTTTTGCTCGCCTGAGGTAGAGTATCTTATGATAAGCTGTAGACCACACTATTTACCAAGAGAGTTTTCATCTATGTTTTTCATAGCTGTCTATTTACCACCACAAACCAATGCTGGCATTAAGATTGCACTGAATGAGTTGTACAAGGCCATTAATCAACAGGAAAACGCTCATCCAGATGCAGCGCTCCTAGTGGCCGGGGACTTTAATGCAGGGAAACTTAAATCCGTTCTACCTAATTTCTACCAGCATGTTAAATGTGCAACCAGAGGGAAAAAAAACTCTAGACCACCTTTACTCCACACACAGAGACGCATACAAAGCTCTCCCTCGCCCTCCATTTGGCAAATCTGACCATAACTCTATCCTCCTGATTCCTGCTTATAAGCAAAAACTGAAGCAGGAAGCACCAGTGATTCGGTTAATAAAAAAGTGGTCAGATGACGCAGATGCTAAGCTACAGGACTGTTTTGCTAGCACAGACTGGAACATGTTCCGGGATTCTTCAGACAGCATTGAGGAGTACACCACATCAGTCACTGGCTTCATCAATAAGTGCATCGATGATGTCGTCCCCACAGTGACCGTACGTACATACCCCAACCAGAAGCCATGGATTACAGGAAACATCCGCACTGAGCTAAAGGGTAGAGCTGCCGCTTTCAAGGAACGGGACTCTAACCCGGACGCTTATAAGAAATCCCGCTATGACCTCCGACGAACCATCAAACAGGCAAAGAGTCAATACAGGTCTAAGATTGAATCATACTACACTGGCTCTGACGCTCGTCGGATGTGGCAGGGCTTGAAAACTATTACAGACTACAAAGGGAAGCACAGCCGCGAGCTGCCCAGTGACACAAGCCTACCAGACGAGCTAAACCACTTCTATGCTCGCTTCGAGGCAAGCAACACTGAAGCATGCATGAGAGCACCAGCTGTTCCGGATGACTATGTGATCACGCTCTCCGTAGCCGATGTGAGTAAGACTTTTAAGCAGGTCAACATTCACAAGGCCGCAGGGCCAGACGGATTACCAGGACATGTACTCCGAGCATGTGCTGACCAACTGGCAAGTGTCTTCACTGACATTTTCAACATGTCCCTGACTGAGTCTGTAATACCAACATGTTTCAAGCAGACCACCATAGTCCCCGTGCCCAAGAACTCTAAGATAACCTGCCTAAATGACTACCGACCCGTAGCACTGACGTCTGTAGCCATGAAGTGCTTTGAAAGACTGGTCATGGCTCACATCAACAGCATAATCCCAGAAACCCTAGACCCACTCCAATTTGCATACCGCCCCAACAGATCCACAGATGATGCAATCTCTATCGCACTCCACACTGCCCTTTCCCACCTGGACAAGAGGAACACCTACGTGAGAATGCTATTCATTGACTACAGCTCAGCATTCAACACCATAGTGCCCTCTAAGCTCATCACTTAGCTAAGGATCCTGGGACTAAACACCTCCCTCTGCAACTGGATCCTGGACTTCCTGACGGGCCGCCCCCAGGTGGTAAGGGTAGGTAACAACACATCTGCCACACTGATCCTCAACACGGGGGCCCCTCAGGGGTGCGTGCTCAGTCCCCTCCTGTACTCTCTGTTCACCCATGACTGCATGGCCAGGCACGACTCCAACACCATCATTAAGTTTGCCGACGACACAACAGTGGTAGGCCTGATCACCGACAACGATGAGACAGCCTATAGGGAGGAGGTCAGAGATCTGGCCGTGTGGTGCCAGGACAACAACCTCTCCCTCAACGTGACCAAGACAAAGGAGATGATTGTGGACTACAGGAAAAAAAAGAGGACTGAGCACGCCCCCATTCTCATCGACGGGGCTGTAGTGGAACAGGTTGAGAGTTTCAAGTTCCTTGGTGTCCACATCACCAACGAACTATCATGGTCCAAACACACCAAGACAGTCGTGAAGAGGGCATGACAAAGCATATTCCCCCTCAGGAGACTAAAAAGATTTGGCATGGGTCCTCAGATCCTCAAAAAATTCTACAGCTGCACCATCGAGAGCATCCTGACTGGTTGCATCACCGCCTGGTATGGCAACTGCTTGGCCTCTGACCGCAAGGCACTACAGAGGGTAGTGCGTACGGCCCAGTACATCACTGGGGCAAAGCTTCCTGCCATCCAGGACCTCTATACCAGGCGGTGTCAGAGGAAGGCCCTCAAAATTGTCAAAGACTCCAGCCACCCTAGTCATAGACTGTTCTCTCTGCTACCGCACGGCAAGCGGTACCGGCGTGCCAAGTCTAAGTCCAAAAGACTTCTCAACAGCTTCTACCCCCAAGCCATAAGACTCCTGAACAGCTAATCATGGCTACCCGGACTATTTGCACTGCCCCCCCCACCCCATCCTTTTTACGCTGCTGCTACTCTGTTAAGTATTTATGCATAGTCACTTTAACTCTACCCACATGTACATATTACCTCAACTACCTCAACTAGCCGGTGCCCCCGCACATTGACTCTGCAACGGTACCCCCCTGTATATATAGCCTCCCTACTGTCACTTTATTTTACTTCTGCTCTTTTTTTCTCAACACTTTTTTTTGTTGTTGTTTTATTCTTACTTTTTTTGTTTAAAATAAATGCACTGTTGGTTATGGGCTGTAAGTAAGCATTTCACTGTAATGTCTGCACCTGTTGTATTCGGCGCATGTGACCAATAAAATTTGATTTGATTTGAACACAATAAATGGAAATATTATTGAAATATGATTATATTAATATACTGATTACCTCAGTATATTAATGATAAAACAAGCGACTTCGAGGCTAGTATGGCTACGATCAGGCTGACAGGACGTGATCGGGAGAGGAAGCTATGTATCGGGTAGGAAGTTGAGCGGAAGTGGGCGTTGCTACGTTGTGCAAAAGGACAATTGCCTCGAAGCCTTGAAAGTGCAGGAAGCCGAGTCACACCGAGATTAACCACGTTAAACTCCATGCCTCTTCTCATTTCATGGTATCTTGCTCATGCACTTGGGAATAATTGTGACTCTGAAACCTTATACCAAAGTATGTGATTGAAATATGTAATCATGAATAATCATGAATAAATACCACAGCAACAGCAGAACGAAAACATGTCATCCCTCCTGCTGGTCTTTGAGATGTCCAATTACCTCTGCTTATTCGTCATCATTATCAACTGTTACCATACCATTATCGCAGTTTAAGGACAACTACCAATCATACTAGTTCTCACTTCCTTAAATAGCCCATATTTGATTCAATGGAGACATTGTAAATCAATCAATGACTATATTTGTAGAATACAAGTGAATGAGGCTGTGTGTTTTTTTGTTTTTATGTTCCCCACACCCATTTTAAAATATCAGAAGTTAAGAATATCTTTAAAGTCAGTGAAAGTTGAGTTATCACAGACATACTGAACATTGATTTTTCACACGCTCAACACAAAAAAGAACCCCAACAAACAGAACAGTTTGAGTTTACTTCTGAAATATTTGCAGCATTTTGCTTCCCAATGGACATAATGTGAAAACTTTTGTTGTTCTGCTCTTTCACTTTATGACTGTTGTGCAATATACCATACATTGTTCTGCCCTCACGATGTGTGTGAGGTTCAACACTTGGCAGACAGCTAACAACCCCCAATAAAGACCCTGGTGGCAGGAGTACCATTTGGAATCTTTTGTGAAAGCAATTTGTAAAACTTTAAAATACAGAATAAAGAAAATATTATTAGAAAATGATCTGCACACATTCACAAAATACAAATGTATACAAATAATGAATAGCTGGGAATAAATTATGAATATGGCATTTGTCCATACACTAACGATCACAGGCTAACAATAAGGCCTAGCTAGCCAGTACAAAAAGTGACATAAAGTATAACAAATTGTATGACAGAAGTAGTGCCACTTTAAATGACTCTTACACGAATGCACAAACTATGCATTCATTAAGCATAATTACAAGGGTATAATCTTGTAAGTAAAGGATATCTAAACACTTGAATTAGCTAGATACATTACAAACACAGAAGCTAAGTTGCATAGCCATAAGATAGCTAGCAGGGTAACGGTCAATGCAATTCCTATGTGAATAGTTAGCACCTATTAGCTTAGCATTATCGCAACGTAAAAGGCTAGAAATAAACATGTAAAACTTAAATCTTCTAGAAAGCACAGCTTGAATTAACAAAATGATGTACTAATGACTCAAAAACAAAAGGTGCCTACTTACTGACTTATCTTTATCCAGGGCCTATTAAGTAAGAAAGATGGAGCTCC